ACACTTTTTCATCAATACAACGATTGACGCCACGAAATGCGGCAAATCCAGCGCAGACGCCCCCCCTCATCTATGGCAACCATTTCGCAAGCAGCATCATATCATACGGTCTGCCTCCATCATCTTACGCAGAAGAAACCGACATATAAAAAAAATTAAATAACAAAACAAAAAAACAATCTTCATGGCTACACCGACCGCAATGGCAGCAACGTAATCAAGAAACGATTCGATGGGCTACATCGTCAAACGACCACGGATGGCGGCAGCGATCTCCAGAAGTGCATGACACATCATCCTCTGCGCCTCGTCGGACGCCGCATAGTGCGCTTTTTGGACCGCTACTTCCTGCGCGAGTATGTCGCACTGCCGTTCTTGTATGTCGCACTGCCTCGATGAAATGCTGCATTGCCGTTTGCTGGACGATTCAATCGTCGACGACATCAGTTCGCCATGGCGGTCCATGACATCAGTGATGGACTCCAGCGCCTGTTGGCGCGCATTCTTACGCTTCCCGCCTCCGGCAACACTGCAAGCGTTCACGTCGGAGTCCCTTGCAGAAGATCTTTCTTCAGGGCAGCCGTCACCACCGCCGTCACTATCAACAGACTCCCCACCACCCGCTCCTCTCCTGGGCAGTTGCACCCCGTTCGGACTGCCGGTGTCGGCGATGTTGGGAGGGAAAATAGTATGGTTCCCCAACATGTCTGAGTGGATCTCGTTGTACAGCACCCTCTCCATCCGGAACTTGAAGTTGTGCTCCTTCCTTTCGTCGTTGGACAACTTGAAGAAATCTGGCCGCCCGCTCGCGTTCTGAAACCTTTGTATCTTCTTGTAGTTTTGGAACAAATTGTCCCATTTCTTCATGCAATCGTCTGCGTCTTTAGGGCTCCCACCGTTCGCCATGCGCTTCGCAATGTCGACCCACTTCCACTCCTTCGTCCGCATCCGGCCGTAATTGTGGCCCAGCCCAGCAAGGTGCATCTCCTGCTCCCGCTTGCATCTGACGAGGAGCATCTGCTCGTCCGTTGACCAGTACGTCGCAGACTTCCCTCCGTCGTCGGTGACGCCACCTCTGCCGCCACGGCCAACGGATCGACCAAGGCCACCACGGTTGTTGCGTCCAATACCCCTACCACCCGTCTTCCCCACAGGCCGAACAGCATTGTCGTCGTCGTCGTCCCCCCCTTCGACTTCCTCCCTGAATCCGTCGTCGGCATCGTCACCGCCACAGCCATCGTCGTCGCCGCCATCGCTGTGTGCCCGCATGTTCGACACGCCTCGAGTGATGTTCTCCACACTGGCTCCTAAACCCGTCGGTGGTCTGCAGGCGCCCTCGTCCCTCCCTTCGGGTGGCGCGGCCGTTGTTCGGTTCAGCATTGACGAGCGTGCACCGCTGGTGCGCAGGGACGCTGCTGCTGCACCAGTGGGCACGTCCCAGTTATCCGTCAATCGTTCCCCGGACGGCGCACCCGATACATGCTGTCGGGCTGCTGGCGAAGACCCGACACCGCCAACGACGGACGCACCGCCACGTAATGTGGGAGGTCCCGTCTGCTCCCTTCGAGGCTGCTGCAGGCCACGTGCGGAAGCAGGGGCGGCGGTGATGACCGTGCGGCTCGCCTCCCTGGCACCGCCAAAACTCAAGCCGAACCGGAGATCAACTCCCCCGTCGTCGTCGTCTCCCAACCCTTGCTGCAGGAGTGACGTGTACTCGCCTCGTTCGTTGCTCGCCGACCCGCCTACGAGCACCATCTGCGACAACAGCTGCGTCGACCTGTTGGCGAGAGGAAACATTGGATGTTCATCCCCCTCCGGCTCCTCGTCCGAGGGAGGCAGCGGCGTCTCCCACGACGGCAGATGGTTGTACATGGACGGGTCGTACCGCCGTGAAGGCTCCGTCGTCGCAGGTCTTCTTCCGCCCTCAGCTGCAAGCAGAATAACGCGTGCCTTCATGCCCGCCATGGGATGTTCCTCTTGAAGCACAGCGCGTTTCGTCGACGCCCTGCGCTTTCGACGCTGCTTCCACGGCCGACACGACAAGCACACGTGGAGGAAGACGGCAAAGAGGAAGACGACCACCACGAGCAGCAGCAGAGGCAATCTCCTCTGCAAATCTGCCATGAATTCGACGTTGACAGGCGACCTTGCACGTGACGTCCTGCTGAACTTTCTCCTTGCATGCCCGCGGACAAAGCCGCTGGACCTTCATATGCCGTCGACCGCCAGCGAAGACGACAAACGTTGGCGCCTCCGATTCAAAAACTGACCGTTGGCGCCCACGCCGCCTCCGTGTGTCGTCGTGCTGACGTTTGGGAACTCCTCCGTTGCCTGCACCCGAGCCAACGGTCTGCAACGGCCGCCCGCCTGGCCACGCTTCGCCCCGCCTGCTCCACCCCACCGTCCAACGGCTACCGGTGGGGGCTGTTGCCGTCGTCGACCGCCAGAAAACCTCCGATGTCCGCCCACCGGCCCGATGGACCTCTCCTGGACCAGCTCCTCCGTGTCGACGGTGCCATTC